GATAGCAGACAATAACCAGATAGCAATGGTGAGGGTCTGTGCTACCCAGGGTCTCATGAACCGCTTGTGAAGATGTGGTTTGACAATAAAGAGAAACCGATCAAATGATATAGCAGCTAGTGTCATTGAGATAACAGCTATTATGTACCAGTATAAGTAAAAAACAAAAGTACATGTTGTTGTCTTCTCCTCATCTGTACTACCAAAGATCCACTTACCAGCAGCTAATGCAATGATAGTGAAAGGAAGGTACAGTAGAATCAATACAAGATGTGCCAGTATGAGAGAAGTGAAGAATATTGTTGATGATTGTTTCCAGGACTTCCTTTCATAGAGTGTGATAGATAGTACCACTCCATTAGCTATCACAGCTAGTATCATCTCAACAGTAAGAACTGCTGCTATTACTGCAGCATGGAGCTCTTCCCTTGTACTAGTAGTGCTACTGTTATTCATCTTACCTTCTCCTAATAGAATATCAGCTTATACTCTGCAGTAACTCATGAAATCATATAAGGTCATTCCAATTAATTCATAGGCCACCCACAATACTGAAATATCATTTTAATAACTATGTATACACAAAATATATATAGGCATTAACACTTGACCATGTTACCATAATTTACTAATAAATAAATAACAAAAAACTTAGTAGCATACATGAAAATGATGAAGAGAATGCGAAACAAAAAAACTCTTAATCTCGGGCCTGAAGTATGACTGAAAAACAGGATTAGCTAGTATATTGAAGAGGTAACAGATAAAAGCAGTAAAGCTATACCAAACTGGCACATCTACAAACAAGAAGGCAATCAAGTACACAACAGAAGGCACAAAGCATATCCCATAGACTATTAACATGCTTCCAAATACTCCAAAGAGTCTCTTCTTCTTTGAGGCATACACACTCTCTCCTGCTATCACTGACTCAACTTTGAACAAAGACTGTTAAAACAATAGCAAAAACACTCCTACGATTGATGTTTATCGGTAACAAATAACACAAGTCAGGATCAATGTCAGAGTCGAATGCAATGATATATATAATGTTAGATACAGCAGACAGTATCCATATAGCAATGGTGAGGGTCAGTGCTACCCAGGGTCTCATGAACAGCATGTGAAGATGTGGTTTGACAATAAAGAGAAACCACTCAAATGATATAGTAGTTAACATCAAGAATATGGTCACTACCATCCACCAAAATATAAACAAAAGAAAGTAACATGTTCCTGTCTTCTGCTCATCTGTACTACCAAAGATCCACTCACCAGCAGCTAATGCAATGATAGTGAAAGGAAGGTACAGTAGATTCAATACAAGATGTGCCAGTATGAGCACCAGCAAACTGTCCACTGACAACATTGAAGGGAATTTTTTAAATGAAGAAAAAATGTTTAAATATGAATTATAATGAGTACGTTTCTTTTTGATGAAAGGAACTATTGATTCCGCCATTGAAATATCCAACCTAATCACTGATTCAATATCATTCTGACCTAGCAAAACCTAATGCAAAAAATGCAACATAAGGACATCAATATGTATCAGAAAATGTCAAAAATTTGGGGTGATTTCGGAGCCAATCTTTGGAAAAAAAACATGGGCATTGAGGTTGAGCTCGGAGCTTTCTTTTTGCTTCATAGTTCACACATGTTTTACAATATTACATTAGAATACAGCTACACATGTACCGCATTAGATATTTGACAGATAAATAGATAATAGCATAGATAATAGAGTAAATGAAAGGGATTGGCAACAGGGCGTAACAACAGGAAATGCGGGTTGGGTTACCACGTGACAACCATTAGTGTTTTGATTGATTTCCCATCTCCTCCATTGGTGAAGTTGCTCTGGCAGGATTTCGAAGGAAATTTGTGCTGCTCCAGGATAGCGCTTGCTTTTGATATATAGCCTATTCCACATAGAATTTTTAGAGCTACCTGTAGCATGGTTTTTATCTCCAAAAAGCCATTTTGCGACCAGTTAGAGGTACACAAAGTCGCCTGTTTTTGAAACACTTTATCGTTCGCAAAACACTCAAGCTTCATTGTATCACTATGCAAGTTGGCTCATTCCATAGGAGATTTCAAGCTCTTTAAAATGGTTATACTTATTCGTAGCTCAAGAACAAAATGAGTCTCTCAGAGGGGGAAAAGATGGTATTTCTAGTTAAAGAGTGACGCGGCTACTAACGCATGCATTGATTTACTGAACAAAAAATATTAATAAAAAGCATAAACATTGGTTAGTATTGTGTGTAAGTTTTGTTTGCATGAATTGTATTCTCTTGGAGTTATTCAAGAATAAAGCAAGAAAATCCCAGTTTTTTACTCCAAAATCGGTCAAAAAATCCCAACCCTCCTCTGTTTACTTAGCAACAATACAAATGAATGGAGGTTTGCCCACGCCCACGCTTCCGTTTCCAATCCCTTTCATTTACTCTATTATCTATGATAATAGTACACACATGGGGCATGACTAGAAGATGGGCATGACTGGAGACATACATGTACATACATACATACATAGTTTTACATACAGAAGACTTCTGCTACAATGGAGTTTGGTCAAGCTCACCCCAATAGATAACCAACAAGAAATTAATGATTACCAAAAAATTAATTACATACATGTACATGTAGGACTACTTTTAACGGACTCACTGTCCATTGCTCAATGGACCAAACACTGCCCATCAACACATTAATAATAATGAAAGTCAAATTATGCAATAATAATAAATTAATAGTTACTAAAATTTACTATACTATACATCTGTTCCCATGAAAAGTGTAGTACACTAATTAGATACTAATTAGATATTTAATTAGATATCTAATCTAATTAGATTAGATTAGATATTTCGTTTGTTTATGGATGTGACATGAGAAAACACATACTGTATTTCCTCGAGTATAAGCTGCCCCCCAGTAGCCGCCTCACTCAAATAGATGCCTCCCGGGGCCAAAGTAGTGAAGGAAATTACCGCCGCCTTCAAATAGACGCCGCATGTAATGTTATTTATTGTTATTATTATTAATAACTAGCAATTAATTAATTAGTAAAATGGCCGTCTAGTCACAGTTGAGTCTGAGTTGACTGTAGTCACTTCATCCTATCAATGAATTTTTTCTTTCAAGGAAAGGTATAGATACATGGTACTTCTAGACCCTTTCCAAATGCCCTTTTCTCATTAACAAGAGCTTCTATTTAACCCCACGAAGCAAGAAATATGATGCAACTCGTGAGAACACCCTTGGAAGGAGAAATAGCTCCTAATGCTAAGGCACTGGGGAACATCTAAACTCCTACAGCCTGAGGTAGAACATGATACCGTATAGCGGAAAATTTTGGAGGGACTAAAATTTGGCGAATTGCTAAATTTTGGTGATTGGCGGATTTTAATTTGGCGAATTGGTGGCCACGTGCATTGAGCATGCGTATAATGGCTCAAAATGGCGGGTTTAATTTTGGCGAATGGCTATCAAAACGCCAAATTCGCCAAATTTAATTCCCTCCAAAATTTCCCGCTATACGGTAGTGCTCTTTTTCCAGACCTGGAACTGAAAGTAGTAATTGACATGATGAAGATTAAATTATTAATTATTACAAATTTTGTTTAAAAAATATTTTAGGTAAAATTAATAATTGATTTTAATTATAATTAATAATCGCCGCCCCCAAACAATGGCCGCCCTCGTATAGTCGCCTCCCTCCTATATATGGAAAAATGAAATAGACGCCGCGGCTTTTACTCGAGGAAATACGGTAAATAACATGTAACAGCAGATGGTTGCTCATGCATGTACATGTGTACTGTATAGCGGGAAATTTTAGAGGGAGTTAAATTTGGTGAATTGCTAAATTTTGGTAATTGGTGAATTTTAATTTGTGGCCACGTGCCATTGAGCATGCACATAATGGCTAAAATGGCAGATTGTTATTTTGGCAAATGGCTATCAAAACACCAAATTTTCCAAACTTAATTCCCCCCAAAAATTTCCCGCTATACAGTATACATGTAGATCATACCAGTGATACCACATTTCAATTGACCAATCAGAACACTTAACAAGTGGTTGCAAATGTATCATACGGCATACATGCACATGTAGTATTTACATGTAATTGTATTATCAATACTTACCCATTTTACTAAAGAAAGCATACAGGACTCCCATCAGGTCCCCAAGGGTTAAATTATAATCAGCGACCACAACCTCTATCTGATGGAACTCAGCCAGGTGAATTGCATCAAGTGTCTCGTTATAAAAGAACACGATCAACTGAAAAATATTTGACAGGAGTGAACTCTTTCTACAAAATTGAATGAATTAATGATAAAAATTTGTACAGCTTGAGAAAAAATAAGTAAAAGTATTCAAATGTCAAGAAAAACATTTGTCACTTTATTCCGACACAGTAGGTGATAAAAGTCACACCTGCTGTTATAATATAAAGTGGTTGCTATGGCTACTCATCGTTAGCTGATAAATCATGAAAATTAATATAATCAGCTTTTACTAGTAGCGCATAAAATCATGACGATGAACCACACCCACTTGTTGTCCAAGTTTGTAGAGCATTCTTGTGCTAACAGCAGTAGTGTGAGTCCTGAAAATGTTCTTCTGAGCTTCCTCTAACTTCCAGTCATATTGATAACTAGTATTAGAAAAGGAAAGTGAGAAAGAAAAGATAAATCATGTACATGCACATTGTATTACGATTAATATGAATTGTACGGTATGTACAGTACATGTGGCAGTTTATATACATGTAGGAGGAGGAAAAATTTGGCAAATTGCCTACTGTATTTGTAATACCGTAAACGTAAAAAATTTCATGGCGGATAAATTTTTATTTTTTTCCATGGGCGACACAGATCCACGAAATTTTAATGCAAGGGTGTGGTGGTTAATTCAATAGGCCACGTGACAGCCAAGCGTACTGATCATGAATATTACTCATCTCTCTTTCATACTTCAGCATCTCTGCTTCCCAGATCTCCTTATATACATGGTAGTCCCTGATAACTGAAAAGATAGTGAAGGTAGGCATCTCTGCAGGTGTCACCATGTCACCATGTGGTCAATAAATTAATAAGATTGGGTAACACCTACCACGAAATTTTTAATGCACGAAAATTAATTTTTACGGAAAAATTCCAAAAAATTCAAAAATTTACACCACGAACATTTTTACGTTTACGGTACATAGTATTAAGAACATGTTTATGTGCCAAAAAATTACACAAGATCAAAGAATTCTCTCCTAGCCATTTCTGACTAAATTTGGCTTGAGACTAAAGGATAGAGAATGGTCTGGCTACCGGGACTAGAATATACAACTGTAATAAGGCATAAGTTGCTTTAAAATGCTTAAAATTGATAAGTGCTTTAACTAGCACTATTAATCACGTTCATTCTTATAATCAAAGCATTTCAAAGCACTCAATTACTTGTGCTTAAAGTAGATTAACTTAAGTCCCAAGTACATGTACTTGATCCCAACCCTGGTATTCCTAGTGCTACACGTAGATGGATATATTCTAAAAATAATGCAATATTTAGGGCTAACCTGGCATATCTTTTGTCACCATCCACAAGATTGGAACGACTTTCGAGTACAAAGTAACTTCAGAAGTGTTGATTACAGCTTTTTCTAAAGAAAAGTATTGCATCGCATCAATGAAGTATCTAAACTTTTCATTTGTGTCAGCAGTCTTGCACCTAAAATTATTATTATGATATTAGAAGACACTGAGAAACAGGCACACTTCAATTCTACAGGTATGGTAACTGGCTTTAAGCATTCTTGGAGATGTAAAAGGTCAGAATACCCACATAGAATGTCAAGAAAGCCAACAGGGTGAGGCCCACTGGGCCTGACAGAAAAGTTTCCCACTCTTATAAATACTTCTTCCTATTAAATACATGTACACAGACTAGGAATAATGGCCTATAAACGAACCTTAATTAAGTAAGCAATCCTGTTGAGTATGTCAGGGGGCAGCTTTAGCAAGTAACTGCTAACAGGATTATTCCTATAATCACAAATACAAATGTAAAAGCTTAATTATAATATGGCAGGGTCATGCTTACCACTCAATGAAGATTTGGTTGTCATTTGTCAGTTTACAATTCTTTAACTCATTTTCATAGTTTTGCTTATTTCCGAAGCACTCAAACTGTAGAATGGCTTCCAAACAGTTTAGATCACCCAGCTTCCTCCACATCATCCCCTCGTGATATTTCCATTTAACATTATACTGGTGCTCGCCATCTTTTAATCTACGGCCTAATATGCTTTTTCTATTTCCTAAAATTAATGATAAAGTTTCCATTTAAAGTGGATGTGGTATTAGTGTTACACAGTCAAAATTAAACAATAATTTGGTTTGAATACAATATACATGTAACATTCGCTGCATTTATCAATTATAGTGTACAGTAGGACAAAAAAAGTTCACGTTTTTGCACTGTTATAGGATTGTACAACTCAAACTATTGTACCATATTGGTTTAGTTTTCCACCTTTATACACTATTGTTGCAATGAAATGTAGGAACATTAATTATTATTACGGTTATTCTATGCTTTTTGTAAAGGAAGTGGCTACGGAACCGGTACCGGTTCCCATTTTCAAGGTCTTATAGAACCGGCATGATCACGTGGTGCCTAAACCACGCCCGTTTACACACGTGCTTAATCATGGCAGCTGTCGTTTCGAAGTCTGTTTCTTCTGCCGAACATTCTGAAGCTAAAGCTCGGCCCCAAGTACCTTCTTTCGTGCTTGGGGAACGATTTGAGTCTTATGATGAGCTGGAAGCTAAGTTGAAGCAGTATGAAAAAGCTACTTATACTCAATGGTGGAAAAGGGATTGCAGGACAGTAGATGCCGCTAAAAGGCGTGTAAACCGACAACTCTCTGACAAGATACGATATTATGAAGTTGTATTTAAGTGTATCAATGGTGGGAGAAAGTTCAAATCTAAAGGAGAAGGGATACGATCAACAATGTTAGTTTGATTATACAGTACTGAGCAATTAGTTCAATGATCTCATTGTGACCTGTTGTACCAGGACCTTTCGTCAGAACTGCCCTGCAGAGTTGTCTTTGATAGCATCAGAGGATGGAAATGGATTGGTTGTGAAGAAATTCTTGGATGAACATAACCATCCTGTTAACAAGGTAATTGTAATGTCAAGTGTTATTTGCCCATTATCTGTAGCTGTTGTAGCAATTATTTAGGCAGTTGCCTAAGCAAAGAAAGTTATCAAATTCAGAGGAAGAAGAAGCTAAACAGCTTCTAGAATTGCGATGTAATAAAAAGCTCCTTCAAGATAAACTATCTTCAGTGAGTGGAAAGGCAGTTCTTCTAAAGGATCTTAGTAATCTAAAGACCAAGAAAAATAACGAAAAGACTAGGAATAATCTTGAGACCACTGTCAAAACTTTGATTGAAAAGCATGGTATGTGTGACACCTTGTAATTTGAAAGGTTTATAGTGGCATTATATACACAAATCAACTTGTTGATTTTTAGATATTTCATTACCTACAAAACTGAAAAAACGTGGTAGGCCGAAAGGACATGAATTAACTGTTATTGGATTGCCTACCAAAAAACGAAAGTGTAGTGAAAGCAAAGTATTGCCTTTTATCAAACTTAGTACACGTATGAAACAAAAAGGTAATACGAGTCTACGACTATAATTTTAATAATAGTTATTATTAATTTAAATTTAGTCATATTGGAGTGGTTTGTTGATAAAGACGTAGCTACTCGTGCTCTTGGTAGTCCTCCCAGCCTCATTGAAGAACATAATGTTGAGATAAAGCCCGAGCTAATACATGAAGGAGTCCTGGATGAAAATGTCGACGTTCATCTTGTTAGACCATTCTTTACTACTGATGCATGGCTGTGTGTAACAAACGTGGTACAAGAAAAACAGAAGACACATGTTTACTATTGTAATTGCTGTCATCAAGATCTGGAGAATTTTCCATCTATTGGCTGTGATCATTGCTTGTTATGGACTCACCTGAAATGTTGTGGTCTAAAAGATAGGCCCAAAACAAGATATTGGTTTTGTAGGAAGTGCCACACTAATCCTACTCTGTGATGTGTGTTGTTGAAAATATTTGGATTAAAAAAGTACTTTGATAAACTATAACAATAAAAAGAGTGAATTCAAAGAAACAATGATGAATAATTGTGAGATAAACAAAATTAAAGAAAGAAAATAAGGAAGTTAATTTCAGATAATGATTAATCAATAATTACTATTTAATTAGCTCGTTAAAATGGGCGTGGTTTAGGCACCACGTGATCATGCCGGTTCTATAAGACCTTGAAAATGGAAACCGGTACCGGTTCCGTAGCCACTTCGTTTTGTAAAACAACCATTTCGTTTTAGCTCACACTTGCTAGGCTAGTATTCAAAATGGAAATTTCGTAATCAAATGTAATATTTACATGATCCTTTTTCTTACCATTAGTTCATTTTGTGGTGTTCCATTTGATTGATTGACTGCTTCAAAGAGTCTAACCTCATGCGAACCATTCTCAGCTATCTCTTTACCTTCTTCAGTCAGCTCCCACAATTCAGTCTGTTTCTGCTCTGTCTTTAAAATCTAAAAGGGAGACAAAAACTCCACACTACTATGATGTGCAAATCAAGTGCTAAGCCTACGTCTCCAAAGGACTCCAAACTCTTTACGGCTCCAACCACGTCTTGGTGATTTCTACCAACACTAGTAGCATATTCATAGGAATCTACTCGACCCTTTTCTGCCAGAGCTTCCAGGAGAGCATCGGGTAAAGACTCCGTCTGAGATGCCATCTTGACGGGAACAGTCCAACAGGGAAGCCAACCACGTGTCTAAAGGCGGGGCCGTTCATTAATTATTAGATCTAATTATTGTTAGGCCTATAGCTATAAAAAATTAAAAACATTATTTTGTTGTTTGTAGACACACATTCAATAAAGTATGTTAATAATTCAATGAAGTATGTTTATAATTCAATTAAATCCCGGTGGCTGCATAGTCTTTGTTGTCATGCTGTCTAAAATCTGGGGGAATGATCCCATGTCATTGTCTGCAGCTGAGGCTAATCAGTATCACTTCATCATCAAAAGTCACCTTAAGAAATGGTCCAGCCACTTCTGTCTGCCCATAATAACCATTCACAACATGTGAACCTTGCTCAATACTGATTGCTCTTATGCTGGACAATGGTTGACAAAACTGGCTCCAGGACATACAACAATCTCTCTTAATTCCCATCAAAAGCAACCTCATAATAAAGATTCTCTCTATCTGTGTACAACAGGCCTGGAGCATCAATTCTACTTGTTGTACGCGGACCCCTTACTGCCATGAATCTACTGACTTTGAGATGAGCAGTGTTGGTAGGATCATCTAATATTAGAGCCTGAGAACAACAGCAGCAACCCATGACTTGAGGATTGGAGCAGATGTTTATGTATTAAATTCAAGTAGAGTATCTACTGCTGAGAGTCAATGATTCAACTATGAACAGAGTGGTCTTATTTTATTGAAGGTGTGGTTTATGATGGAAGACCATTGGAATGATGCAGATATCTATATTATGCTTACACATTGTAAATTTCTTGTATGCCCAGCTTCATTAGCAGGTACAGATCTACTAGACGTGAGTCCAAAAATATTGATTATTAGAGCCATTACATGCCATTGAGAAGAGCTTCCGCCCTAGCTCAATGTGCAATTCAAGCATTATTATTGTGTCAGTGTTTAATAGCACCACTAAATTTGCTAGCTGCAATTTAGATTATCATTTTTTAAACAAAATTAATATAAATGACAGCAACAAAAGCTTTAGTTTCAGTGGCCCCGGGCCAGGCTACAAAATTTTACATCATAAGACTATAGTCAATATGAATTTCTGTTTTTTTGATATTGCCCAAATTAAACTTGTCTTTTTGGCCTTTACTTTTCCAGCTCAGAAGTCAAAACAGCTATAAGGCTGTAATTTAGTAGCAGAACTAGTAGCTGATCCATAGCTATTCTCATTCTGAGAAGAAAGCATGTGACAATAATGGTACTTTAGCTATCATTATTATGATCATGAAAAATTATGATTACTGCTCTATCTACAATTATAGTATACGGAAGTTGCAACAGAGTGGGGAGTAGATATGTGACACACTGCATGGTATGTTATGAATTGGTGTTTCTTTGATTGTCAATACATTCCTTTGTAGCTCATTTCTCCTCTATAATCAATCTTCGCATAGTTGCTATATATAATTTTCTGGGGAACATCTGAATATAGACAATGTTTTGCTATGTGCAAAATTGGTCAAATTCCTATAGTTGTAGAGTACAATAAAAGTGAGTGTGTAACATGAATTATATTCATGGATCATTATTATGAGAGGTACATAGTGACTCTGTGACTGATTGGTTACGGTAATACCTAGCCCCAGACCCTCTCCCACTCTGTTTATGTAGTGAGGTATTAAACCGTTAATGAAGCATGTTAGAAATAGTTAATTTATTGAATAAAGTGATAGATAGAGCACTGCATGATCTAATTTACCTTTAGACTATACTGTATAATCGTGGGTGGCTACCATAAATGATTCATTGAAAATAGTCTTAGTGCCTAGGGGGTCAGTGGAATAACAAAATAATAGTCAAGGGCTGGACATCAGTCTTTTTCTACTCCTCTAGCAAGAAAGATCACAACACAGCCTGATCAGTTTTATACTATTACTCAACACGTCACCAAATACCTACAAGAACTAATATATACAACTTACAAAGATCACTATACAAGCAACACTGAATAGCTACCATAAGCCTGAGCTGCAACCATGTATGCATGTTTATATCATTGTGGTTTTACACGGCACAAAATTAGCTAAATGTTGCTATACAACTATATAAGTTTTTCAGAACAAATTTCATGAGTGACATGTCATTTTTTAAAGCTGATACTGGTCTGTTAATTTTTGTCAATGACACTGGAGCAACAGTGGAATAAAATAAACTAAGAAATTATGGACTCACCCTGCATGGTAAACCACTACAAAACCATACAGTGATGGTCATAGAGGAGAAAGAATATCAACTTTTGCATGCATGTCAACAAGAGGCATTCTTGATGTAATGACTGTTAACGAGGAAATAACTGATGGTGAATATGTAAATAGAAATTTATTACTTCGCTTATTAACTGACATATATATAAGTGAGTGAAATCATACATGAAGTTGGTTCATTACTAATCTATCTTCTACCTTATTCTCCTGACTTAAATCCAATTGAAGTGGATTTAAGAGCCTGAGACCTTTTCAAGTGAAAGCTACACTGCAGTCATTACAAGACAAGTGTGACCTTGAAAGAATTTTGTATCAATCAGTAATCATCACTGAGTACATTCAATGAATATACAGCATATCACTATTATTGTCAACACACTCCATAATACATGTTTTAAGTTCCTTGGTTAGACTAGACAATGTGCAGAGCTGTATTGCCATTTGACAATGAATACCGATTCTTTTTAAAAAAATTTGAAACAATCTTTTCTCTATTTTCACAAAAAAACTGAAAACTAATACTACTGTGCAGTACAGTTATTGATTATAAAAATACACACTATTAATAATAATAATATACACAATAATAATAATCACTATAACTACAACTAATTACGAACATATGTAACTGATTAATATGAAACACAATGAAGTTGCATAACAGTATAAACCCTATGTTAAAATCTTCTCAAAGATATGACAAAATGATCTCCCTTTGCTCTAAATACTCACTGTCAGTTAAATTAATATCACCACAAAGTTGTTGAATTATTTTTAATTGTTTCAACTTTACATCGACAATTATACAGGGAAACACATTAGAATGATCAGTCATTGATGATGTTGCACTGCTGTTACCATGAATTGCACGAGTAGCTGCCATTTCTGCCTCAGTTACAGCTTCAGTTACAGTATCTTTTCGAGTTTTCTTAGCACTGAGCAGCAAAAGCAGAACTTCAAGAGGATTATCATAGTCATCATACATTCCTTAACTTCAGATTAGGTACTTCATATCTGTCACCATGTTTTGCTTTCAAAGAGTATCGCTGAGTTGACATTATCTTTACTGATGGTTATGGACATACAAGAGTTACTCTACATTGACTTCAAGATGGCATAATAATGGAAGCTACTGGAATGAGGGAAAAGAACAGCACTTATGATTAGCTCAAAACATCTACTTACATTCCAGTAATTGACTGCATACTTAATGAGCTGAACAAACAGTTCTCAGGTCCCAATCTTGATATACTATGCTCTAATCAGCACTGAAACCCTCAGTTGTCCAGCTTTTTAGATCCTGAAAAGCTTCTCCTAATTATTTATAACTACAATCTCAATAAGGATAAGATTTTTGAAAAGTGTTTTTTGGCCAAACATGCTATAACAACAACTGGTAGAAGTTTGAGTAGCATCTTTTTGAAGTTATCACCCCTAAAAATGTATTTCCTAATTTAGTCAAGTTATTGGAAATCATATCACTAACCAATTACCATAGGTATAAGCTCTGCATCATGTGAGTGATCCTTTTTCTCTTAAAACAAATCAAAACATGGCTTCGTACAACAATGATAGAACAAAGGTTGGTTTGATCCCATCTACTGAAAGAGACTTATCTGCTCAGTTGTCTCTGATGAAGTTCTAAACAGATTTGCTGCTAAGGATAACAACAGGAGACTGAGAAGAATCATATTGCTGTGACTGACTTGAAATTTGTTGAACCTATGATGGAACCATAAATTATAGATCTTTCATTATTAACATCATTATTATTATTAATTAAAATTGACACAATGCCCATCATGAATAGTTAATTAGCTATGCAAAAATTTTTAAAGCGCTTTGTGCATTGAATATTTCTGCCTGGGGATCACTACAGGAGTAATGAAATCATGCTAACACTTTGAAATACTACTAATACACAAACACACACATGTACTTGTCATTGTCCATTACCGTAGGGAGCCTTTTTTCAAGGGTTGTAAATTTCACAGATTTCATAAATCTTTCACAAATATTGTGGTCTCGAATAATAATACTTAATTGCAAGTGAGTGTGACGGCATGTTTCACATGGGCATTTTTATAGTAAAGATAGCCTTTTATTTGTATGTCCACACTTATATTTCTTCTATACACGCTGTATTGGAGGAATAACAAGCCTTAGCAACCACCCGCCCACACTCCTTTATCTAAGTGGGTGTGGTCACAGCAAACAAAATTGTGTGTTAAGGCTGGTTTACAATATTACCATAGATATTGTAGACGTAGTCTATAATATCTATGATATTACACTAGTCCTGATGTTACGTTGACGCAGGAATAGAATCTGGTTCTATTTTAGCAGAAGGCATGCGTCAAAATGACAAATTGCCCACGCTTTTGATTAAAAATTGATGTTACGTTGGCCTAGCGCCATATTGTAAACTAGCCTTTACACACAGGACAAAGTTATCAGCTGTCTAACAACAAGAGAACATAGAGATACTGTCTAAAGACTTGTCAGGAAGCATTATAAGGTGGAGAGAACCTCTAAAAGTCTTAATAAGTGCCCAGCTATGCATACAAGGTGGTGAAATCAATTATAGGCATATTTTTACATTGTACGCTTGTGATAGAGCGATCTGCAAGATAATTCAACCGCAAAAAAATTGATTTCAAATTTAATGACAACTGCAAATCCCAAAAATGGGATTGCTTAAATAACAAAAATTATAACAAAAAAGTGATGCTCCGTTCAACCCCATTGGTACAAAGGAGCCTTAGTTGCACAAAAGGATCAAGCCCAGTAGGGCACATAACGTTACAGAAAAAAAGAAGTCTAAGTCTTAGAAGCATACATAATCTAATTTAATTACAGTAATGTTTACATAAATCAATAACTAACACATCAGATCTAAGTCAGTTAACATGTACATACCCTCTTACAAATTAACACATATACATACATACATGTACATATCTTCATGCAGGGTTCTATCTAGGAATTTTTTTTGGGGAGGAAGCCCAGAGCAGTTGACCGGGGGGGGAAGGTTGTGTACATACATGTATGTACATGTACAGTACATGCATGTAGTTACA